TCCCTCCCCCTCCCTTTCCCCCTTCCCCTCTGGCTCTGAGCATTGGGTTGAGCCTCCTTCATCTCACTGAGCCTCTAGAAGCCATGGGATCCCAGGCCCATGCCCGCTTCTTTCCTGTGTTTGGCTTCAGCCTTGGGTAGAGCTTTGCAGGAAGTGCCTGGCCTCAGCGGCCACCGTGTCACCAGGTGGCCAGGCCCAGAGAGGTTTTCCCGCTGGGTGTTGCTAGCAGAGGAGGGGAGAGCAAGGCCTCTCTCTCACTTTGCTCTGGTTCTGGGGAGACAGTGGCTTTCCAAATCCCCAAAGAATGCACCTTGTGCTCAAGAGGAGGGGGACCCCTGTGGTGTGGGGACCTCAGGTATGAAAACCCTCCCACGGGGTGAGAGGAAAGCAGGTCCCTGTGTGCTGGTTAGAAGCGGGAAGAGGCAACTGAGGGCTTTCTTCCCGCCCATCACACTTGCATCGGAGCAGTCTTGGGGGATCAGTGAAATGAGGGGTGCTGAGTCCAGATGAGCTGGACAGTAGACTGAGCCCTCAGGTGGGATGCAGGAGGGGTGGCCATCCATCCAGAACTCAGGCTTAAAGGCATCAGTTCCTCAGATGTCGGTTTGGGGAGGTGTGTGCAGAGGGAAGATGGCTGGGTTTTTAGTTGTCAGGGAGCCTCCTCACTACGCCATGGCATCTGTTTGCAAATCTGGCCCCTCAGTCTCACCTGGTGGGGGTGAAGCATCCACGTCGGAGCCTATGGTCCCCCTGGACACGGGCCAGCAGACCCTCATGGCGTGGGGGGGATGACTTGGTTTTGCACCAGGTTGTAGCCGGGATATCGTGGAACCATCACGTGGTTTCACAGACATGAATTCTTACAGTCCTTGCGGTGAGCCTTGGGGCCCTGAGCCTGACCTTGAAGTTCTTACTGGAGACTCAGTGTTGATTTGACCTTGAACGTGAGCTCAGCGCAGTCCCGGGCCTGGAAATCAGGTGGCGTGCTCAGCGTTCTTCCAGGTGATAAAGAATATGTTGACTTTTTAAGATTGTTATTTTTTATTTTATTTCATTTATTTATTTATTTATTTATTTTTATTTATTTATTTTGCGGTACATGGGCCTCTCACTGTTGTGGCCTCTCCCGTTGCGGAGCACAGGCTCCGGATGCGCAGGCTCAGCGGCCATGGCTCACCGGCCCAGCCGCTCCGCGGCATGTGGGAATCTTCCCGGACCGGGGCACGATCCCATGTCCCCCGCATCGGCAGGTGGGCTCTCAACCACTGTGCCACCAGGGAAGCCCAAGATTGTTATTTTTTAAAAAACAGTTCAAAGGTTCTTAGGATATGTGGACGCTGGTAATTCTGAGCTAATGGAAAACCCGGGCCTGGAGGAGGAGTTGGGGGCACAGGATGGGACCTGTTGAAGGAGGTGGGGAGGGCATGGCCAGCCGCCCTAAAGAGTGACAGTGATGTTTTAGAGCTGAGAGGGCCTCTATCCATTGTCGAGTTCACGGGCCCAATTTTAAGTCAGCAAAACTGAAGCATGGACGGCTTAAGTGAACCGCACCATCTCAGGTATGCAGCCCCCTGGGCAAGACCAGAGCCCCTTGCTTCTGAGACATTCCCACCACGGCTTAGAGCTGCCCGCCTGCCCCACCTGGAGGATGAGTCCCAGGTTGCAGGGTCAGAGCAGAGAGCCCCGTGGCCCAGGGGGACCATTCAGGTTCACGGTGAGTGAGGCCTTGACAGCTGAAGCCTTCCGCCCGTGCCCAGCTCCTGTCGGAAGCAGCTCCCGTGGTTGGCAAGTTTCGAGTAGGGGTTGCTGTAATTTAGGAAAAGAAGGCCTCGTGTTTATTTTATTTAAACATGCAAACAAGCCTGTGATTCCCAGAAGGAAGTGGAAGCTGGAGTCAGACCTGTTTTGGAGGGTGGGGTACGGAATTAGGATTCTGCATTAACAGGGTTTTGTGTTTTTTAGTACAGTTGACCCCTCCCCAGCTGTGCTTGGGGATGCTGAGTGAAAGCTAGTTAAGTGCCTTTGCAAATTCTCAGGAGGAGGAGGCAGAACTTGACCATAGCCTTGGACTATCCTGCAAGGACAATACAAAACCCAAAGTCCAGGGGGTCTGTGGGTGATAACACAATGATCTTGGTAACTAAAGCCCCTATCATGGTCCGTGGATTAAGGGTCCATGGGATTAAGAGGTACCAGTGTGCCTCTGTGCAGCTCTTGGGGTCCTCCTGCTAACACTCACCCCAGAACTAGCCTCTACTGGGACCCTCCTGTGGACACATATACAGGCAGAACCCAGCCTGGCCTTCGCGGCCGGCACCTGAGTGCAGACACCAGGGACACGGGTGGATCGGCATGGCAACCAGCACAGTGCCAGGCCGGGTAGGGGTAGTGCAGGATCTCTGCCCTGGCTGTCTGCTGGAGTCCCATGGGAATCCTTTACAGCCACCAGGGCTCAGGCCACCCCGGGCATCTGACTCGGTCTGTTTTCAAAGCTCCCCAGGTGACGCTGCCCTGTAGCCAGGGCTAAGGACACCTGTTAGAAGGCATGTGACCAGCTGGGACCGGAGGTGGAGGAATGGGGTGAGGCAGAGGCATGGGAGGGAGCTGGGACTTTGGCCGTGTGGGCGCCCGCAGCTCGGTGGCCGGTCTTAGCCTGCAGTGAGCACCTGGCCAGTCCAGCCGTGGCTCCTCCAGGCTGCCCACATGGAAGGAAGTGAGAACAGTCCCCTTTCAGGCTCTGGAAGCCTGAGAGTGGCCCTGTGCTGGGCCCTGTGCCCTCCTGGCCTGGGCAGTGTTTGGTGGTGGCAGTTGTTGTAAACTGGTGACTGACCGCCCCGGAGGCCACCTGTGCTGTAGCCTTGGGCTGCTTGCAGGTGAGTCATGGTGACGTGACTTAACCCAGTTGGGATGACCTCTTGGAAATCCCGGGTGCCCTTTGGAAGGAGTAGAGAAGTGGCCCTCATGTGAGATTTGGAACAGGCTGGGCCATTGTAAGTTGATGTCCCAGTGAGGGGCTCCCCTGAATTAGAACAGTTCTGGGAACAGAGCTGCCAAAGGGCCAAGGGCTTGGAAGCACGTGTAGGCTTTGTGGTTTGGCCTGGGATGGGGCTGGCTGCCGTCAGGTGCCTGTAGGAAGGTGTTAGCTCTATAACACCCCCATAGGTGCCCCCAAATAGGGAGCCTGCTGTAGCATAAGCCACTCTCTGTGCTCACAGGGACGCTCGGCTGGGGGAGGCCTGCATCCTGTTTCCTGGCCCTGCACCTAGGTCAGCAGGATCAGGTCGGATCCCACAGACAAGGTAAAAGAATGTCCCTGACGTCAAGACACTAGCATTTGGGGTCCCCTCCCGCTGCCCCACAGCTGTCTAAAGCCCAGCCTCGTGTCGCCTGACGAGGGGGCTGCTGCTTCGTCCCCTCCTCGCGCTGCCGTCTTTGGGTGCCGTCAGCTGTGAAGGTGAGGTCAGCCTACCTGAGGCCCCTGTTCCACGCCTGTAGGTGACCGGTGGGGCATGGAGCCCCTCTCCTGGCTCTAACACAGGCTGCTTCTCTGCAACGTAGATGCACCATTTGGGACGCCGCCGGGGTACGGCTGTGCCACGGACCGGGCCGAGGAGCAGCGCCGGCACCAGGATGGGCTGCCCTACATGGATGACTCACCCTCCTCCTCGCCCCACCTCGGCAGCAAGGGCAGGGGCAGCCGGGACGCACCGGAGTCCACCAAAGTGGTGAGTCCCGGGGTGGGAGGGCGGGTGCCAGCAGTAGCAAGTGGGTGATGGGACAGCCAACAGTCGGAAGTCAGTCACTAAAGCCCTTATTCCCCCATCTGGTGCGTGGGGACCGCCTGCCGGGAGCATGAGCTGGGGGGTCGTGGGGCTCTGTCAGCGGGGCATGGACGAGGCAGGCAACCGTGCTGAGGCCCAGAACTTGGCTGCCGTCTAAAGCAGCGGAAACTGGGGTGGTGGCCCCAGCAGGGTATTGAGCAGGATGGTGTCCACACCCAGAGCACTGGCCCCCTTTTGCCAGAGGAGATGCTGACATGACTCATCCACTTTCCAGGGTCTTTCTCCTGAGGTCTCATTGTCATTAATGATCCCACCATCACCTCCACTCTACAGATGGAGAACTGAGGCCCCGAGGTCCATGGCGAGTGCAAGCTGGCACATCCTGCAGGTGCCTCTCTCGTGGGCACACGGCTGGGGTGGTGGTAGAGCTGGTGTGCCAGCCCAGCCTGGCTCAGTGTCCTCACGCTTCCAGCGGTCCCACGGCTCAAGCGGGCACTTCTGAGGTGCATTAGGGCCCATCCGGGCACCCCTTTGACCTGTCGGGGGTCTTTCCTTTTGGTCTGAGAGGGTGCTGTCCTTGGGGAACCTCTGTCTTTCTGGTCCCACTGTCCCTGAGGACAGATACCTTCCCCCTCTGCTTAGCTTGTTTCTGGGTAATCTCCACTCTGAGTTTAAAACTGAGAGAGAGGGACTTCCCTGGTGGTCCAGTGGTTAAGACTCTGTGCTTCCACTGCAGGGGGGACGGGTTTGATCCCTGGTCGGGAAACTAAGATCCTGCATGCCACATAGCGCAGCAAAAAAAAAAAGAGAGAGAGTGAGAGGACTCTGCTTTTCCCTGTGGCTGGAAGCTTAGCTTTTCACTGCAGTGGCCTCTCCGCTGGGCTGGCGCCTTAGCTGCAAAACTACTCCTTTCTTTAGCTTTTGTGATTTCTGAAGACCACCGTGCTGGGCAGGCTTCTCGTCCTGAAACAGGGGTGGGAGGGGAGCCCATGTGTAATGCATACCTCCCTCATGCAGCTTCTTACCAAACAGCCAGTTTCACCATTTTACAGACGAGGAGACTGAGGTTCAGAGAGGCAAAGTGACTTGCTTGAGACCATACAGCTACCAGATCTGAAGCCTTCCCAACCCCTCAGCTGACAGTCTTTCCCTCAACTGCCTTGCCTTTTTTGTTTTGTTTTGTTTTGTGGTACGCAGGCCTCTCACCGCTGTGGCCTCTCCCATTGCGGAGCACAGGTTCCGGACGCGCAAGCCCAGAGGCCATGGCTCACGCGCCCAGCCGCTCCGCGGCATGTGGGATCCTCCCGGAGCTGGGCAGGAACCCGTGTCCCCTGCATCGGCAGGCGGACTCCCAGCCACTGCGCCACCAGGGAAGCCCTGCCTTGCCTTTTTTTGATGCATCCCCTTTCTTCCCGCGTTGTGGGTGTCACTTGGTACAGACAAGCATCCTTACGGCTGAGCCCTGAACTTGGACAGTCTTTCCCTGTCCGTCTATGGTCCCTGAGGGTTGTCTTCCCCCCGCATGACCTTGCTCTACTTAAGGCCCCTTGAGGAGGCTGCTCTGCCCTCCCTGTGCCCCAGGCCCTGTGCGGCTGGATGCCCACCTACTTCTCCCTGGGCTCCTGCCCTCAGACCCCTGCCACACTGACTTGGGGTTCTGCCCCCACCTTTTAGCCCCCAGTTGAGGGGCTTATCTGCTGTGGAGCCTGTCCAGATCCAGTTGCTCACCCGCTCCTGCCTCGCAGAGCCCACAGGCATTTCTCACGTTACACACGAGGCAAGAGGCTGCACCTGCTTGCCAGGCCTGGGGGCTCCAGTCCCCAGCAGGCCACCTGGCCCAGAGAGGTGTCAGGAAGCACCTGGGTGAGATGGGGACTTGATCAGAGGAGGGCTGCACTGTTTTGTTCCAGAAGCCCCGTGGTTAGGTGCTTGGAGCCCCAGGGTGGGCACCCTTCACTCCGCTGGAGACAGGCACAGCCCTGACTTTCTGGGTCCCCCGTCAGCTCTGCAGTGAGACGTCCTTCTTTCATCTTTGATTATGGGTTTGAAGACGATGCAGCTGTCACTTTCTAGCACCCACAGAAAGCATGGTGGTCTTGAGGTCAAAGCTGCCTCATCCCCATCGGCCGGGGGGGGGCCCCGCTCATCCCTGTCCGTCCCTACCTTCCCGGTAGGGCTCATCCCCGGCTGCCAAGCTTGGGCCCTTTGAGCGGTGAGCTGTCAGGAGGACCTTCCTGGGGACTCCATGGCAACTTGGGGGCTCGGTGGCCTCCTGGGGTGCAGGTCAGCTCCGTGCATACCCGTCCCCGGGGTGGGTAAGGGGTCTGCAGAGGCCAGGCCCCGCCCCCGCCTGGGGCACTGTGGAAAGGATGCAGGTGGCCGTGTGGGGTAGCTCCTGGTGACCGAGGCTGTCCCAGCGCTGAGCGTCAGTGACATTCTCCATCCCTGGTCGTTCTCAGAGGTGCCTGCCGGTCTTGCCTGTGTTTCCCCTGGACCCATGACTATGCAGTGCCAGCCAGCGAGTGTCAGGATAAAGATGAGGGTCTGGGCATCACCCCTGGCTGCTCTCCTGTGGGGAGGCGGTGTCCTTTGTTCTGCAGCTGTGCTGACCACCACATCCCAGCCAGGAGCAGCCCAGCCCTCACGGCCCAGGTTCTGCACCCCAGTCACCCCAGGCCCCGGGTGGGGGTGGGCCTGGCAGCTGGCTGGCGGGTGGCAGTTCTGTTCCCCTGGGTCCCTGCCTCAGCTTCCCTACCTTGTTTTGCCACGCCCAGTTCATTTTTTATTTTTTATTTGTTCTTTTAGCCTCAGGGCTGTGTTGCCTTGCCCTCTCCGCGCCCGGGCAGCAGTGAGAGGCCTCCTTCCTTCCTTCGTCCACTCGCCCTTTTCCTCCAGCCTCGCGGTCTACCAGACCTCCCCCCGCGGTCTACCGTCTGGACTGGGTGCATTCACGCGCCCTTCCCCGCGCTGGCACATGCCGAGGTGGGGTTGTAAACATTGCTGGTCCCCGCCCTGGCCTTTGCTCTCTCTTCTGCACTTCCCCTCCCCCCCCCCTCCGGGTGGGGTGGGCCAGTGTCCAAGCCGAGCCGAGCCGTCCCTGTCTGCTGCCACTGGCCCGTTTGAGGCTCAGGAGAAGGTTGTAGTCTGAGGAGAGGTGCCCTCGCCCCCGCCCATACGTTCCCTTGAGCTGGCTGCGCCCTCTGGAACGGAGAGCTGGACGGGGCGCTGCCCTGCCTACGTGCCTTTTCCGCCCGACTCTCCAGGCCGCGGCGGTGGGAGCAGCCCCACTGGCCGTGCTCACAGTAGTGGGGTTGTTCCCGGGCACACGAGCCTTCACCCTGGACCCGCTGGGAGGCACGTGCAGGGTCCGCGCAGCGTCCGCTGGGAGCTTGCTTCCCCGAGGTGCCTGCGCTCGCGACTTGGCCTCTGTGATCTGAGGTGAGAGGAGATGATGGGATCCCTTCACCCTGCACATCTGTGCTGATAGTGGTGGCACTGGGGGCCCAGAGCAGGCTGCATGGATGGTCCTAGACCCCAGGACCCACTTGTCTCACGGACAGGGGTTCCCTGGAGGGGCCCTTGGAGCTTTGTAAAGATGCAGCCAAGCCAGGGCCCAGCCAGCGGTTCTGGATCCTCTCATTGGTTGGTTTATTCTGGGTCTTCGTGGAGCACCTGTGTGTTCCGGGCACTGTGCCCCAGAGGCTCCCACCCTTGGAGCCGCTGCCCAGCGTGGTCTGGACTGGGGCTCTGGTGTGGGACATGGGTGTCCTTTCCCCGGAGTGGCTCTAAGCCAAAAATCTGATGGCTGTCCCCCATGTGTGCACACACAGCTGTCTCCCATTCACCCACAGGGTGGGAAACCAATGACGGAAAGCGCAGGGCTCTTACGTCCCCTTCTCTGGACACAGGGCCCCAGACGTCTGGCGCCTCCCTCAGACTACAGTGAGGCCGGTCAGCACAGGCCGGGCAGAGGGAGGGCAGCTTCAGCCTGGTGGAGCACAGGCCATGGGCACGGCCAGCCTGACACCAGATTGCCTTGTTGGTGGTCCAGGAGCAAGTGAGGGGTGTGGCCAGGAAGTCGATGAAAACAGCAGTTTCATTGCCTTTGGAATCATCAGCTGTATGAGTTTCCTGGGCATCTGTAATAAAGTGCCACAGACCATGTGGCTTAAACAACAGAGGTTGATTTATCCCAGTCCTGGAGGCTGGAAGTCAGCAGGGTTGGTTTTTCCCAGGGCCTCTCTCCTTGGCTTAGAGATGCCCGTCTTCTCCCTGTGTCTTCCCACTCCGTGTGTCTGTGTCCTCATCTCTTTCTCTTGTTCTTGTTTATATTGAGGCACTGACATATAACATATTCGTTGTAGGTGTACAACATAACGACTTGGTATATGTATATATTGTAAAATGATCGCTAACCGTAAGTCAACATCCATCACCACACGATTACAAATTTTTTTTTCTTGTGATGAGAACTCTTAAGATCTATTCTTTCAGTAACTTTCACGTATACGATACAGTATCATTAACTATAGTCACCATGCTGTTCATTACATCCCCAGGGCTTATTTATTTTATAACTGGAAGTTTGTACCTTTTGATCGCCTAGTCTCTTCTTAGAAGGATACCAGTCATTTCGGACTAGGGCCCACCCTAATGACCTCATTTTAACTTGATTACTTCTCTAAAGACCCTGTCTCCGAACACAGTCACATTCTCGGGCACCAGGGACACATCGCCCCCATAACACCATCACAGCTAGGGATGGAATGTGGTCTTCCAGCCATCTTGGACCCTACCCCCTGCATCCAAGGGCACGTCAGCTCTGTGCTTCGGAGGCAAAGGCAGCAGAACATCACCCCACATATAGTAGGGGCGTTTAGTAGTAGGGAGGGGGGGACCTTGCCGTAGCCCACATGTATGCAGGTCCAGAGTCTAGAAAGCAGGCTCAGAAGAGCAGGTTCAAGGGACAAAGGCCCTGAACCCAGGAGATGGGGTTTCCCTTGGGCAGGTGGCCACAGCCCCCTGCCCCACCACTGTGGCTGGGAGGGAGGCGGTGCTGCCCGGGCCTGGTCGGTCCAAGGGTCAGGTGGCAGTGGCACAGAGGCCGGCGAGGCAGGTACCGGGAGAGGAGAGGGGAGCTGCAGAAGGAGTCGGGGTGGCTGTGGGAGGGGCCCGACACCCCCTGGGCTCAGCCTCTTCCAGGACAGCCACTCCTCGGTCACGGGTAGAAGGTGTGGAGAGAGGCCTTGCCCACCCTGCTCAGCTCCAAACTGCCCGTTTCCTGGTGTCAAGACCAAGGGTGGCCTTTGGCTTAGCTGGATGACCATCCAGAATTTGCAGCGACCACAGTCGAGCTGACATGCCGGGACCCTCGTGCCTTCCTAATTTAATCCCACCTGGAACCTTCTCGGGAAACTTGTCCTCAGGTTGACAAGCCGGCTTCCTCTCTGAGAGGGGCCGCCTCAAGCACCCTCCCCCGGGGTCTGACTTTTGTCCGTTTCTCCTGCAGAGTGAGCTGGACTTGGAAAAGGGCTCAGACATGAGGAAATGGGTCCTGTCTGGAATCCTGGCTAGCGAGGAGACTTACCTGAGCCACCTGGAGGCGCTGCTGCTGGTGAGGAGGGTGCAGGGGCTGAGCGGGCAGGATGGGCCCTGGCGAGCTCTGCTCACGCGTCCCAGGTCCCAGGTCAGCCTGGCAGTAGCCCACCCTCCCAGGATCCTCGACACACCTGTGGGCAGGCAGGACATGCCACCTCTGTGGAGGTTGGGCCTCCCCAAGGGGCAGTGGATGCCAGTGAAAGACTCGGGTACCAAACCAAGCGGGCTTTAAATTTTTATTGTTAATGCAATTTTAAAAATAAAAGCATGTGTGTCACGGGACCACAATGTACTTGACAAGTGGCGAGCCCTGACACCTGTGCTGCCCCACCAGTCACCTGTGCCCTCTTCCAGCCCATGAAACCTTTGAAGGCTGCTGCCACCACCTCTCAGCCGGTGCTGACGAGCCAGCAGATCGAGACCATCTTCTTCAAAGTGCCTGAGCTCTATGAGATCCACAAGGAGTTCTACGACGGGCTCCTCCCCCGCCTGCAGCAGTGGAGCCACCAGCAGCGTGTGGGCGACCTCTTCCAGAAGCTGGTGAGTGACCCGGAGCAGGGACCCGGCAGCCTCCTGGGGGTGACGGGGTGACGGGCGGGGGCCAGGCCTCTCCCTGAGCCTGGTGCCACCTGCGGGCGAGGCTGCTGAGGGCACGATGGGGAGGGAGAGTCCTGGACACATCTTACTGCCTGGGATGCCGAAGGGGGGCTGTGGGGAGGGGGCGCCGCCACAGCACCACTGCTGGACCCCGCATGAAAGCGAGGCTTCCCTCCCTCTGCTGGCCCCAATGACATCTCTGGTCCTTTCTGGGTCCGCTCAGTTTTACTCAAGGTTCCCAGTCTCCAGACTGGTCCCCTCTGGACCACAAAGAAGCCGCTGCCCTGGGGACAGGACTCAGACTCTGGGCAGGGGTACTGGGGCAGGCAGAGCCTGGAGGGGCAAGCACAGGTGGAGACAGTGGGTGTTTGTTGTACTTTATTTCATTTTTGCAGTTCTTTGAATTAAAGACTCTTGAATTAATCAAGAATTAAAAAAAAAAAAAGTAGAGTGGGGAGGGAAGGCTGTTCAGTAAAAGTCAGGGTCATACGAGAGGAGCCCTTGGGTCCCCAGGGGGTCCCTGGCTGAGGAAGTGATGAGAACAGGCCTTCCGTGTGGCCCCAGCTCCCGCCGCAGCCAGTTTGGGGACCTGGAGGCACATTTAATATTAGCGACTGTGACAGCAGCTCCCTGGATCCTTGCAGGAATCAGGACGTGTCCTGTGGACAGGCTGGAGGAAGGCAGGAGGGCTGCCTTGTACCTGGGGACGGCCATGCCGGGCTGTGAACCGAGGGACCGTGAGGCCGTCTGGTCCCCGGGTAGTGGGTTCAGCTCTGATCAGGGGGCTCAGGGGGGCCTGTGGGTGCCCTGTCTCAGCGGAGCTGAGGCAGCCCCACCAGGCAGGTCCCGTCTCCACCCCGTGCAAGTGAGGAGGCCGAGGGGCAGGAGGTCACCTGCCCAGACGGTACCCCTGGTCTGTCTGCCTCCAGGAAGAGTGCTTTGCCCCTGCCTTCAGGGGCATAATACTGGAGGGTGGGTGGTGCTGGATGACAGAACAAGGGTTTCTGCAAGGGCTCAGTGGGCCCAAACTGGCTGGGAGTCCATTCGGCAGACGTAGCTCTGGATCCCTGGTTACAGGGAGGGAGAGGCGGCTGTGGGGGCAGGTCAGGGACCTTCTCTGGCCATTTGCTGACCTCGGGGCCCACGAGGAGCCAAGGATTCGGCTTTTAAAAAGTCAACGGGATTAGGAAAATCTAGTAATCAGATGAAGCGGGTTGGTGGACCCCTTGGCACTGGCCTGGCCACCCCCGGAAGGGACCAGGCTTGGGTGAACACTGAACTGAGACGTGGGTAGCGCAGAACTTGTCCCAACAGAAGGGGTGGTTGAGGGACCTGAGGATGATGGAGAAAACTCTCAGACGGAGCTGCCGGATTGATGTTTGTCTTCCAAGGTGTGAGGTGCCTGTGTGAGGAGGCCCCCACCTCTGTGGGTCTAAAGGGGGAGCCAGTCTCTTTAGGTGGAGGCTGGTGGGGCATGTCTCTATATAAGGGGCAGCAAAGAGGCCACCTCCCAGCACTACGAGCCCCCATCCTGGGATGCCCTCTAAGGCGGGTGCTGGGTAGGCCTGGGTGACCGGGACTCCACCTCTGAGGACCCCTGATCCTGATTAAAGGGTTGCCCGG